AAACAGAAGTTTCAAGTACTTACTTCCATTGTACTTCTGTTGTTGTTCAGGTAGGTATAATTTATCACAATTCAGAAAAATAAGACAATTTGGAGTTGGTTTTGTTCCAAAATTCTGCACCACTGTTTCAGCTTCTGTTTTTACAACAGACTTCCCAAAACCCGATTCAGCAATATGCCCAATAAATATGAATTCAAGCAAAAAGTACCATCACTGAAAATTATTTTACACAAAAAAGAAGATATTTCTTGTAACTTGTGGGTTTATTTGGTATGAAGGTCTTTGCGCCATACAATGTTGCCATATTCTTAATCCCTCGTGAGATTGTAAAGGAGTGATAAACTTGCAAAGAATTCAGAAAGTAGAAAAAGGCAAAGGTTGTGTAATGACTCAGGGATCTTTCCTGTTGGGTACCCTTTGGGTACACATTTGATATGGTGACTTGTTTGAAACTGTTGTTTCCATGAAATATTAGGGTCTCTTATTGGATGGAGAGTTAAAAATATACCTATTTTAAAAAAAAAAAGACAGGAAAAGAGATGTGAAGAACTTCACGTAATGCACTAATCCTGTCTATTAAAATTTGAAAATATACTTCTAAACATGACAAATCTTATTTGTAATTGTAGAATACACATAGTAGTCAGCTACTGAAAAAATACTAATTATCCTTATTCAGTGAATGCTACAAATGTTCTTTTGTTCAGAGTTGTTGTTTTCTTTTTTTATTTCCTAAATTTTGGACCAGAGCATGGTATGGATTCTCAGTATCCTTCCTTTATTCTTTAACATATTCTAATTAACCTTCCTAGGAATTACGATAATTCCATATTAGTTGAGAGGTGATCTGGCTAGTTGGGATTGCACAGGAGGCAGTAGATTTTAACTAGTCATTGTACTGGCATTGCTGCCAGTGCAGCCCAGCATCTTCAAGACAACTAGAATAAAATGCTGTTAAGGACTGTATTTGGAAAGACAGGTTATAAAGTCAAAGAAGCAATCTCAGATTAAAATTTTTTAAGTTTCTAGTTTAGATTAGCACTCAGAAACCTTGACACAACAGAAAACCTAGATTAATGGTAGATTTTCTTTCCAAATTTATTTCACCTTGCTGGATTAAAAAGTGATGAATAGACCAAATTATTTTTGTTTCCCAAATGTAAAATTGTGTTCTATTTTTCTGCAGTCTGATGTAAGTTGTGGTTTGATTTTTCTATTGCTTGGGTGGAAGGCATGAAAAATGCCCACTTTATTCTTTGTAGATGATAACTTCAGTGTTCCTTCTATCAAGGAATGCAGAGTACTGAGAAAATAAAGCTTCATTTACTTCAGAAAAATGACCAATTGGAAATATTTGCTATTTTTAGTGCACCCATGGGAACTGATCTTAAATAAAACACCTAGAGCAAACGTGTCCTTGAAAGAATCTTTTTCTTTCTTCGATAATGTTTAAAAATGAAACCAGTTGGCTTGCTGTGTATTAACTATAACTGATGTCTGAAACGTACTTGTACATGTGCATGGTACTTAAGTGACAAAACCAGTATTCCCATCTCCTGCACACAAAGACCCCAATTGTACAAGCAGCCTTAAAGAGTGTGAATTATTAGATAATTGTGAATTGCACTGAAACCTCTTGGAAATCAGATTGCTGTGCATTACTGGGATCAGAGTTTAACAAGGGATCAGAGCTGGGATAGATGAGTTCTTAGCTCCTGGAGTCTTATGATCGGATTAGGATTCCTGAGTTTTTTTGTGTTAATATCTGTCCTCCTTGATGTGTAAAAATGCAAAAACACATAATTAGCATAACCTAGTCCTAAGTCTGCAGGCAGGTGGAAACAATTATAGGTGTCTCATACTCTGCCATTAATTTTTAATTTTGTGGTTTAGTCTATGTTGCTGTGTATAGTTATTATGTGGGTTGCTAGATTTTTGGATTGCCTTAATTCAGCCAAAGCAATAATGCACTTTTTAATAGAGTAGATGAGAAGGAAAGAAGAAAAGCTGAATTTGGCAGCAATAAGATCATATAGATGCTTTACATGTTGTACGCCTGCTAGAAATGTATTTAGTTATTTAGATTTTAATATACTGCTTTCCTTCTTAAGGAAGACAGTGCCACAGTCGTCATTCATGTGCTGTAGGTAAAAATATTACTTGAAGGGGGGAATAAAGGAACACAGACATGGGGATAATTGGAAAAGAAAGATTAGATGAAGGTTAGAGGGAAGAGAAGCACATGTATGAAAATAGAGAGAGCAGAAGGGGGGGGAACTAAGTTCAGTTACTTGGAACATGAAAGTCAAACCATTTGAATTCAGGTTCAATGTTTCCTCAGATTTGAGGAAACATTGGAGCTTTATATTTGAAGCCAGGGTCTATCCCACAAGAGATCTGCAATTCAAAACTACAGAAAAAGTCAAAGTGCAGATTTATGGATGGATGACTCTACGCTGGGAAAAGGGGATGTTTTTCCTTAATTCTGGAATTTCTTACTAAACTCATTATGAAATATTAACATTGCATTGACTGTGATTCAGTTTAGAATCACCTAAATCCATATTGTATCTCTTTTTAATCATTAGAATTAAGTTCAAAACAAGTGGCACTGTATGTTTTAATGTACATTTGAGAATAATTTATTAAAAGCAAAGGTCATAGTCTTTAGACTTCATGAAATTACTTTTGTTTTATTATGGACTTTTTCAAGAAATTACAATTATTTGTTTCATTTACTGCCACTAAAATAAAGGCATAATACCAGCAGAACTGGAGGGGTGTCAAGGAGAGTATCACGGTTAAGGATGGATGGCATGTCACTGACTCTGTTAACAAGTAGCTGACAACTTCACATACAGCAGGACCAGATTGACTTCTGTCCCCCATCTTGTTCTTGGCTGGTTTCTTGTACGTGATATGCTAGGAAAACAGAGATCCTTAAGTCTGGCATTAAGTTGGCATTTGTTTTAAGAGTGAGCTTTTTAATGCATATTCATAATATTGAAAACTCCTCTAGCAATGCCAGGGGAGAAGTGGGAATAGTAAACAAAGATCTGATACTGTAAGTTCTTGTACTTGCATTTAGAGGTTATGTTTAGTTTCACGCTGATTTCTAATGCAATACCGCAAACAGAACAGCCTACTGATTTGGCATTAATATCAAAATACCGGTTGCTTCAGCTTTCATCAGACTGTCATGAAACACTTACTTTAAGTTTTCAGCTATTATGTTAAGAAAGCTAAATGATATGTCTGTCTCTGGTCGTGATAAAGATGCTCTCTTCTCCAAGGAGCTTATCAAATAAAAATGTATTAGAGCTCTTACAGTGAACATGTTATCACAATTTTGTCAATATAAGTTTATCCTCTGTTACAAAGTTAAATGAAAGGATGATCAATATGAAGTGTACAGAATCCATTATCTTCGGATGTATCCAATTTTTCTGTTGTGGATGAATTTTCTCCAGATTTTCAGTTCCCTTTGAGAATTTTTTTAAGTGTAAAAATCTATCAAAATCTGTTTAATTTTTTTTATCTATGAAGAATAGACTGTAACAACAGGAGCTGATGTCAGTGATTAGTGTTGGCTTATATCTTTATTGCTCACGTGGTTTTGTACATTTTTCATAGGATTATATACAAAGGAGTAAATGGCATGTTTGGATAGCTTTGCACCGAATATTTTTGGATTATCTTTTTTCTTTCTGGCTGCTCTCTCTATTAGGATTATTTGTAAATTTAGTCTTTACTAGGCCTCCTCTTCTTGCTCTCGTTTTATCCCCCTGCTTCTGTGTGCTCTTTTCCCTTCATGTAATCTAAATCTACTCTTTTCCCTTGCTCCAGTTTCCATTCTCCCTGCTGTTGCTGTTACAAATCTTGGAACTCCAAGGTTCATTCAGTGCTCTGTTATCATGGAGATCTTTTTTTCAGCTGTCCTTGGCCAGCCTTTTAATAAAACCAGATAAGCCAAGAAAATTCTAGAGAACTAGAAAGATATTCATACTGTGCCAATATTAAAAAGAACAAAAACTAAGTAATTAAAGCCTGGTTATCTTGACATCAGTTCCGAGAAAAATAGTGGGAAAACTGATAGATGATTGAAATGAGAAGGATTGAAGGATACAGTTATAGTTAAAAGAAACCAATGTTGTTTTGACAAGGGGCAGTTTTATGAAACTTGATTCTTGTCTTTTGAAGATACTGAGCTTGCCTTAAGAATCTGACCATCGGAGCACCTTCTTTCTCAATTTCTGTCTTCTGTAGTCACTAGTCCTTTTTCTTATATTGGATTCTAGTTTTTAAAAAAATAGTAGGGCTTTTTAATTAATATTGTCTCACAGGGTTTACTTTTACAAAATGGAAATGCAGCCCCTTCCCCAAACTACTTAACACTGAGGAAAAACATTTCCCACACCCGTCCCCCCCAGATTTTGAAAGTGAATCAGTCC